TCACAGGAAAAGTAAGGTGGCCACCATTTTCATCCTCTGTGATCCGGAGTAACTTCTAAACTTTGCAATGACAATTGAACTGATACTCTAAAAATTACAGTGTAAATACTGTAGAAATAAAAACATTAGAAAAAAATCAAGGAGAGTATAAATAGATCTAGGAATTGAGGAGATTTTAAGTGAGTTGAAATATCCAGGCTGTATATATGTATACATGTATATGTGTATATGTATTTATTTTATATATATACACATGTATGAATACATATATGTATATTTAACATATATTTAATATGAAAATTAAAAACTTTATAATGATTTCCATTATAATGAGAATTATAAGGAGCTATGGACTTGGAAAAGTATGTGTTCAAAAAAGCCTTAGATTAATAAGTAAAGATAAATAACGAAATAGAAAATTGGGTAAATAATATGAATAAAAAGTTTACAGAAAATCCAACTCAAAGAAGCATCAAATATCAGGAGAAAAATACTCAAATTCACTACCAGTTAGAGTAATTAGACACGACTTTAGATTGGCCAACAATAGAAAGAAAGAGCTTCTACCTGGTTGGGAATGCGAAGCGGGTACTCTTGACATCGACAATGAAAATATGAGTTGGTCCATCCTTTTTGGATCGTGATCTAGTGAGATCTATTAAAATGAAAAACCACGTGCTCTTGAATCACCAAGCCCAGTACTGGGAAACCATCCCAGAGACAACAGCTCACTGTGTAGGGATAGAGGTACACAGATAGTTAATGCAGCTTTGTTTCAAGACACGAAGATGAAGTGAATTCCCAATAGGCAAGAAATGGCAGAATAAGCTGTGGGTATAAGCACGATGGGAAATCTTATGCAGTTACTAACTATTAAGGAACTGGCAAGGGCAGCAACTCCATGTGTCAGTGCCGTATGAGAAAAGCAAGCTTTGTGGGTGTGTGTACAGTAGCATTGCATTTAAAGCCAAACAAAGACCATAAAACAACTGGCTATGTGTTTGTATGTGATTAAATGAACATGGAGAAGAACACTTGGGGAGATATGATGGGGTGGGAAAGGCAAGCAAAAATGTAACGTGTACACTGAAAATACTAAGCACATATGTATGTATATATGACCACCTCCATGTGGAATTATATATGTATATACAGATGCATAGGGGAGTAAGGAGATAAAACGTAGATCTATATTCACTTACTGATTAAGAGGCTTTTGATATATTAATGACTGAAAACCAGTTTGGGAAAGACAAAAATCCTGAAAATGTGTATAAATACTTAGAAATAATTTGTAGGAAAAGGAAAATTGTGACTGAAGAATGGCCTATTAACATTAGGCCCCCAGGATGGTGAAGTTGGAGAGCAGTCTAGGGAAGAAGATTCACTTTAACAAAACAGTCTTTCAGCTGGGCCCGGTGGCTCACACCTGTAACCCTAACACTTTGGGAGGCTGAGGCGGGCCAATCACAAGGTCAGGAGATTGAGACCATCTTAGCCAACATGGGGAAACCCCATCTCTACTAAAAATACAAAAATTAGCTGGGTGTGGTGGCGTGCATCTGCAATTCCAGCTACTCAGGAGGCTGAGGCAGGAGAATCACTTGAACCCAGGAGACGGAGATTGCAGTGAGCTGAGATCTCACCATGCACTCCAGCTTGGCAACAGAGTGAGACTCCGTCTCCAAAAAAAAAAAAAAAAAAAAAAATCTTTGCATTGCTGTAGTTTCTCCAACAATTATGCATTACTTCTGCTATTTGAAAAAGTAAATCTAATGCCAAGACTTTGAGAACTGCCAACTTTCAGAAGCTATTGGTGACATTGCCTGTTTTATAGCCTGCCTTTGGTGACAGTAAATTGAATTTTGATCAAGTAAAAACCAAATTTAAGCCTGTTCTGTGCACCTCTGTCAATTGCCTGCTTCAAATGCATTAAATCATTTTGCTTGAAATGATCCCTGACTTTTGGGGCCAGTTATACCTCTGGCCATTGGTAAAGGGCAACTTTCCATCCTGCTTTTCCCCAGTTGAAATTGACCATGGCGTCAGTCCTGTGTGGTCTCCCTGAGATTGGGAGCGTCCTACCGTGTCCCTTGGTCTTAGCCTGGGCTATTCATTCTGGCTGATGTTGGCATTCAGTCCAGACACCTTTCAGGCTGACATGTATGCTATATATATATATTTTTTATTGCATTTTAGGTTTTGGGGTACATGTGCAGAACATGCAAGATAGTTACATAGGTACACACATGGCAGTGTGTTTTGCTGCCTTCCTCCCCTTCACCCACATTTGGCATTTCTCCCCATGCTATCCCTCCTCAGCTCCTCCCCTGCTGTCCCTCCCCTATTCCCCCCAATAGATCCCAGTGTGTAGTACTCCCCTCTCTGTGTCCATGTGTTCTCATTTTTCATCACCCGCCTATGAGTGAGAATATGTGGTATTTAATTTTCTGTTCTTGTGTCAGTTTGCTGAGAATGATGTTCTCCAGATTCATCCATGTCCCTACAAATGACACGAACTGATCATTTTTGATTGCTGCATAATATTCCATGGTGTATATGTGCCGCATTTTCCCAGTCCAGTCCATCCTGCATATGAATTGGGAGAATGCATAACACCCTCATTGAAAGTGTCCTTTATCTCTCTTCGCTGATTATGGTCTTATCCTTTCTGATCTTTTCTTCAACCTCCTCCTTTCTTTTCTATAGCAGGCAATTGGATGGTGACTGGTCATATCTTATGCCGAAGACCCTATAAGGTCAACTAGCTGCTCTCTGCTAGCCCCCTTCCAGTCCTACTGTTACTGGTTAGTTTTTATGCCACCTGGCCAGGGTATAGTATCCAGTGACTCACTCAAACACTAGTTTAGGTGTTATGATGACATTTTATAGATGTAGTTATGTGTGTATAACATAATATATATAATCATTTGACTTTACATAAATAAGATTACCCTTGATAATGTGGGTGGGCCTGACCTAATCAGTGGAAAAGCCTTGAGAGCAAAACTGAGGCTTCCCTGAGGAAGAAATGTCTGCCTGTGGACCACAGAGTCACTTCCTGTTGGAGAGTTTCTGACCTGCCCACCTGCCCTACAGATTTCAGACTCGCCCAGCCTGACTTCACAATCACGTAAGCCCATTCCTTGAAATACATTTCTATATATGTCCTACTGGGTCTCTTTCACTGCTAACACACTGACAAGTGCATTTCCCCTTCAACCTTATTGGCCTGGAAATGGGACCTTTAAGTCATCTCTTTCGGGGAAAAAAATAAAAAATAAAAACCAGGAGGAATTGGGTGAGGTGGATAAGAGGCCTCTCTCCTTTCTTCTTTCATGGGTGAGTCTGCTCTGTAAGTTAGTTTATCAGATTAATGATTTGTGACTTTGAAGCTATTATCACTCAGAAAAAGACACTATTTAAAATTTTAATGAAACAGGAAGCTCCCCTAACCCTGGAAGAGCAAACAGGAGCACAGAAGCCTTCACAGCTGGCTCTCAGGGAGGCCCATGCTCCAGGCCCTTCCCAGACTTAGGTCTTCACCTCCATCCCGTTCTCACCCCTGCTGTGACATCTTCCTCAGTGTATAAAGAATTGCTTCTCCCCTAGAAAAACAGGCCCCACCCTGAGATCCATGCCCTTCCATGCAGGAACAGTCTGTAGGACCAGTGTAGACAGCCTTGGGGACCCCAAGTCAGAGCCCCCTTGAGAGCTCATTGACAATGAGGGCTATAGATGTGCTTCCTTCTTCCCAGCGTGATCAACAGAAACTGTCAGGTCACAACCCCGACCCTCAAGTGCGCAATCAGACCCCGTTCTACCCCAACCAAGACAGAAACGCATTTTCAGAGGAAGGAGGGGATGGTATTCTATTGCCTCTGTGTAGGCTCTTTCACCACATCCCCCACACCCACACCTCCGGCACACACTGTACACACATACATTCAACACTTGAATACACAGGCACAGGTGCAAACAATGCACAAACGTCCAAACTCTCTCTCTCTCTTTCACACACACACACACACACACGCGCACACACACACATGCACATATGCACACACGCGCACACACACATGCACACACGCAAACACACATGCACACACGCACGCACGCACATATGCACACACACGCACATGCACACGCGCACACACGCACACGCACGCACACATACACGCACGCACATACGCACACACACGCACACGCACGCACACATACACGCACGCACACACGCACACGCACGCGCGCACACACACACAGCTATTGCACATGACGTGGTGGGGTGTCAGCCTTTTCACTGCTGCTCTGCCGCTCTCATGTTCGCAGCGTTTTCTCGGGGCTGCTGAAAATCAGAGTCACTTCAATAGCTGCATAAAGGTCCAATCGTTTCCTTGAAATTACGCTTGTGAGGGTGAGTTAATGGTCACCTCCTGCAAGTATCTCTCCAGTTACGAAGGCAGCTCTTCCTCCTGTTCAGTCCCGTCAGCTTAAACTGTGAAAGACTTGCTTTCCAGAGGGAACGTCATGCCCCAGTGCTTGTTATCTCCAGCTCCTGCAGAGGCCAGTTCAGCTCATTCTTTTCCTCTTCGATCCCTGACCTTGTGAGACAGCCTCCCACACTCCAAGAGGGAAGAGTTTCTTCTTGCCTCCTGGATTCTTCTCTGTCACATTTGGCCTCCCCCAGGCCATGGAGCTGGAGTTGCTCAGCTTGGGGATTCACGGAGGAGGCTGGGATGCAGGGTGAACTGTAGCCGAGGGCCACCTCTGCCCCTCTCCTAGCCCACACAGAACCTCACTTTTCCTCCAGACAAAGTGGCCACAGAGGGAGAAATAGGCAGGGAAGGCTCATCTCCTCCCCTGCTTCTCTCTCTGCATCCATGCTTGTTTCAAATGAACCAGAGGAATAGTGATAAAGGCTAGCAGCGAGAATGGAAAGTTGAGAATAGATGCTAGAAACTAAGGTTGTGTAATCTTTTTACATTAAAAATTTAAGCAGCAATGCCAAGGACCTTATATCCTTAATGATGTAGAAAATTGATAACAGGCATTCCTTGAGAAGAGGGTTTTCCTCTAGATACAAACGGATACCACAGCATTTCTAGGTTTCACTCTCTTCAAACTCTCCCTGCTCCAGGGCACAGTGGCTGTGAGTTTCTTGCCTCTCTCTCAGCCGCCACTCTTCTGCTGAGGCAGAGAGGTTTTCTGATCCTCTGGGTCTCCACTATAATCCCAACTTCCATGCCCCAAAGACACCCACACCCTTCCCAAAGACCCAGCAGTTCTCTGTGAGTCTGGCAAAGAGTCCTTGTCCTCTGGGGACCTACTCAGCCTTAGTGAGCCACCAGTCCCAGCAGGATCCACAAGAAACTTGCATGACCGCAAGGCCTGAGCACAAGACGAATCTTTCCACTGCCACGCTGCCATCATGACTGTTTTTTCCAGATGGGCTCACGTGACCACTCAGCAGGGGACACTCTGGTGGGATTTTTAAGGGTCTGTAAATAAAACTCATCCTTTCCCACTGATGTTGTAAACCAACTGAGTAGGCACAAGAATCAGGCAGGTGGAGATCAAAACATCAGCTTTACTGCTGATCAGAAGGAGATGGCTGGATGTGGTCGAAGCCTTCGTGCTAACGGGCTTGCACTTCTCTGCTTGTACCTTCTCCCACCTGGTTTTTGGGGGAGCCCATGAGAGTAAACTTGGCATTTCCAAATCAGACATATTGCCCAAAATTGCTGCCTCTCACTGGTCCTGAGTGGAAAGGGAAGAAAAAAAAAATCAAATCTCAGTTGCTTACAGTTTTCCAGCAGATCAGCCTCAGCAATCATGGGCCATGAGCCAATATAGTCCCACAGACTGAGACCTCAGTCCTTTGTGGTAAGGGGCTAGTGAGAGTGGAACAGCAAGAGGGTGGCCCAAGTGGCATTCCCTCCACATGCAAAGACGAGGCACAGGGAAGAGGAGGGTCCTGCTTTTTTGTTCTCTGAATGCTTAACCTTTAGATTAAACTGTTAAGCCCCTGCTTGGCCCGGGAGGCACCACCTTGCTCTGGTGGCTGCTCACTTGGCAAGAGCTGCTCCTGCCTTCAGCCGCCCACTCCCCAATACCAGCCACTGTGTCTTAAGTGTCTTACAGGGACTGCTGCCAGGAGTATGTGTTTCATTCGCAGAAGCTGTCAGTTGGGTCAGAATAGTAAAATATTCAAATTAAGTTTGAGCCGCACTGACATCAAAGTTGGAAATTTATTTTTTCTTTATTTCTTTGCATTCTTTTTCCGAGAATATTGTGCAATGCAGCTTATCTGAGATCCTGCAGTGTGGTTAAATGGCAACATGAATATGATCTGGGAATACAATGTCAAGGTGAAATATAAACCCCTTCTTTAATTAAATTCTCTTTTACTAGGTTAGGCTAAGTTTGTCGGCTGTATTCTGGACCTCAGGACTCTTAAACAGCAGCAAACAATCCCCAGATCTCGTGGCTTAACACTAGGAACGTTTGCTTTCATGGACTTCACAGACCAGCCTGGGCTCTGCCCTGTGCCTCCCTGGTCTTCAGTCTGGTGCCCAGCTGAGAGTGCAGCAGACATGCATGCAGAATGCTGCTGGCTGTGTGCCAGAGGGGAACTGAGCTTAGCTAGCACATACTTGTGCCTGCAGCTTTTCCTGGAAGGGACCATGTCCCTACTGCTCACATTTCATAGGCCAAAGAAAGTTAGATTGCACCACCTGAGTTCAAGTGCCCTCTTGAACTCAGGTGGTGCAATCTAACTTTCTTTTCAAGTCCAACCCTTCCTTGTGCCTGGAGGATGACAGCTGGAGTAGCTGGCACTGCTCTAAGGACCAGCACAAATTCTCAGGAAGAAATTAAGGGAGACAACTACTAAGTGTGCTGGGAAGTTCAAGTTCAAATAATTTTGTGTCTTAAGTGAAGTCTAAAAGTAAACACACTTGCCCTTGTGAAGTCAAATCCAAAGTCCACAATTCCCAGTTTTAAATGAACATTCAATGAAATTAATGCCTTCCTCCATCTCTTCGTTTGTTGGATCTCTGTTCTCTGGGTCTGTTTCTCTGTTCTCTGGATCTCCTCAACAATCAGATGTGAACTGGGTCACCGTTCAGCACGATGGGCTTAATGCCTTCAGGACTTCAGGGGTTGCATTAGGTTAGGTCAGTCTCTCATTTCCCACTTGAAAGAGCAGAAAGTGATCTTTGCACCGCCAAGATTCTCACCGCACTGACCTTCCATCACCAGCAAACCTCAGCGTCTAGAGGAACCACCCAATCCAAGCATGATCCTCAGGACACCCACACTTGGTAAAATCTCAGCCCATGTTACACCATGGGAACTCCATGGGATCTGAGTGTGGGTTGGTGTACAGAGAAGAAATCATCCTTGTTTTTATCTCTGCATGATTCCTTTGGTGCTGGACCCCTGTGACTGAGCAGTTAACTCCACTGCAAAAACTCTCCCTTCACCAGACCAGTGACGGCCCTACTTAACACGTACGTATTGTTTCCTTCCTCAGAGGAGGTATTTATTGAGGCATATTTGAGACATTGCTGTCTTCTTTCAAAGGGCAGAAATATACAGAAGTGGCATACTTTCTTTTGCACTTTGGGTGTCATTTCCCCTTTAGCCCAGCGTGTGGAGTCCCCTCAGGCTTCTCTGAGAGTTGGCCCTCTATAGTGTCACGGCTGCCACTGAATCTTATGGGCATGTATGCAGTGCTGCGACATGGTGAATTTCTTCTATTGCCTCTTGTTATGAAATTGTAAAGGCCTGGGAAGTCTAGTGCAGGGGATATTTTCCCTCCAGTCCTCATGTTGGTTTTCAGTGAAGAACCATCCTTAGAATGTTTCAAAAACCAAAGCTGCTGCTGTTGCTTCAAGAGTCTTTGCTCCTGGAGCACGACTCCTCACCCTTGGCTGCAGCTTGGAATCCCTTGGGGGACTTTAAGAATCCTGAGGTCCATACTGCACCCAAACAATCAAGTCCCAGTCTTGTGGGCGGGAGTTTGATGGTTAATTATATGTGTCAATTTGGCTAGGCCAGGGTACCCAGATTTTTGGCCAAAAGCCAATCTAGATGTTTCTGTGAAAGAATTTTTAGGTGAAATTAACGTTTCATCAGTGAACGTTGAGTAAAGCATATTACCCTCCATCATGTGGGTGGACCTTCCACAATCAGTTGAAGGGTTTATGAGAAAAGGCTGAGGTTCCCCCAAATAAGAAGGAATTATGCCTCCAGATAAGTCGCAGCTTGAGCCACAGCACTGACTCTGCCCTGAAACTCGCGCCTGTCAGCCTACCCTGCGGATTTCAAACTTGTCAGCCTCCACAGTCCGGTGAGCTAATTCCTTAAAATAAATAAATCCACCTGTCTCTATCTCTATCACCACCTCACTCCCTTTATCTGTAGCTCTATCCCTATTTCTGTCTCCATTTCTATCTCTATCTCTATTTCTGTTTGTCTCCTTCCCATCCGTATGTCTATCTCTATATCTCTATCTTTCTTTCTCTCTAAACCTATCTTTATCTCTGACAGAGACAGAGAAAAAGATAGGTATAAATATTCATAACCTATATTTATATATAGATTTATATATTTATATAAATATTTGTATATTTATAACCTATAAATATTTATATATTTATATATAAATTTATATATATATTTATATATAAATTTATAGAAATATTTATATATTTATAACCTATATATAGAAATATTTATATATTTATATAAAATATATATAAATTTATATAAATATTTATATATTTATAACCTATAAATATTTATATATTTATATTTAAATATATAGTCTCTATATTTTCTATATGTTTCTATGTATAGATATTTATAGAACATATAAATATTTAATATTGTATTTAAGAATATATATTTAATAATATAAATATACATATTTATATATTTATAATTTTATAATAATTTAAATATATTAATTTAAAGTATTTATTTAATATATTTATAATATTTATAATTAATTTAAATATTTATATATTCTATAAATATCTATATATTTATAGATATAGCTCTGTCTCTACTTCTATCTCTATCTACCTCTGTCTCTATCCATATCTACCTCTATCTGTATTTTTATCTCTATCTCTCTTGTCCTATTTCCAGCTCTGTCTCTCTCTATTCCATTTACCTCTATCCCTATCTCCCTCTACCTCTATCCCTTTCTCTGTCTTTATCCCTATGTTTTTTCTCTCTCTATTTCTATCGGTATCTGTGTCTCTACCTCTTTATCTCTAGCTCTCTCTCTATTGCTGTCTCTATCCCTGTCTCTCTATTGCTCTCTCTCTATCCCTATCTCTGTCTCTATCCCTATGTCTCTCTCTGTCTCTATCCCTATCTTTCTCTACCTCTAGCTCTATCACTATCTCTATCTCTCTCTGTCTGTATCCCTGTGTCCACCTATCTCTGTCTCTATGTCGCTCTCTCTCTTCTATCTCTATCCCTATCTCTTTCTATAGGTATCTCTATCTCTGTCTTCATTGTTATCCCTATCTCCATCTCCATCTCTCTCTATCTTCATCTCCTCTGTCTCATCTCTATCTACTTCCTTTGGTCTGTTTCAGGGTGGAAAACCCTGATGAATTCAGATGGTGCTGATCTGCCAGGCTCTGGTAGTTTTAGAGTTTTCCTGGCGATTCCAATGTGCAGGAGGGTGGACAGCCCCTTCCTAGGGGATCTAAAAATGACCCCTCCCTTTTACTCTGCCTCATCTTTTGTTATTTGTTTGTTTGACGATAGTAGGGGCTGTCTCCATGGATCACTACCCTCTCCTGCCCCTGCTACTTCCAGAAAGTATAGTGCCATTTCTGACAGTTGGACCTGCTTCTGAGATCATTGCCTTTCTGTATTGAATGGCTTGCTCTTCTCTTCCAAGCCTTGCTCCACAAACTAGCAGCATCAGCCTTACCTGGAACATGATAGACAAGCTTAGATATTACACCTACTGGGGGATGACCTCTTGAAGTGCCACATCCACAGCTCCACTTTTCTCTCTGGGTCCATCTGCAGCTCTTCCTCCCTTTCACCTCTGCCCAATCTCATCTCCCTTCCTGCATGCCCTGCCTCCCCTTTGAAAGATCAGCTTTCCTCTCACTGAAATTACTCTCCTTCCCTCAGTTTAATTAGCCTGGGTGCCTTAAAAAACAAATAGGCCAGCTGCAGGCCTACTTGACTCATGCTCGTAAGGTGAAGAAGGAATATCACTTGAGGCAGGAGTTCAAGAACAGGCTGTGCAGCATAGCGAGACTCTGTCTCTATAAAAAAAAAAAAAACATTAAAAAATTGGCTGGGCATGGTGGTGCATGCCTGAAGTCCCAGCTACTCAGGAGGCTGAGGTGGGAGGATTGCTTGAACCTAGGAGATAGCAGCTGCAGGTGAATGACCCATGATCCTGCCTCTGCACTCCAGGGGCAACAGGTCAAGACTTTGCCTCAAAACAAATTATAAAAGTAAACAACTCTTCTACAGCTCCTTCTATTCTAGTAAAGTGAAGTACATTTTCATAGCCTTCTAGCTCCTCCTTGATTCTTTTAGCAAATATAACATCTTAAAGTAATCCAGACACAAGATTTATCAGTGTACTTCTAACCTTTCAGTTTACAAATACTGAATTAAACTGTTTTGTTGCCACTCCACTAAAAACTGACATTAAAATAGTGCTGCCATTTCTTCATTTAATTTTCACTGAAGATTTACTGAAATGATCT